CCTTTTAAAAACTCATACCAAATATTGCTAATTATAAATAAAAATGATCGAAATTAAAAATAAAATGAAAAAAATCATATTCTTATAGAGAATCAAAATTATTAAATGAAGTAATGCTATTTCTGCACATTTCAACTACAATTTACAAATTTATTATTTTGTAATAATTTTTTTCACTCTCCAATTCTTGACATTCTAGAATGTTGAAAAACAGTGAGCTTTTTCATATATCTTTTAATATTAAAAGTTTTTTAAGCTAATTATGAACAAAAATTACCTATTAATCATTTTTCTTGTTTTTTTTATCTTTAGGTCATATAAAAGTAGAGAATTAATTGATTTCTTCCTCACTTTATGACTAATCTTTAGATTATCTTATAATTAGAAAAAATGAAAACAACAATATAAACTATTTAATTTTTATTAATTTCCAAATTTTATCAAACAATCATTTTAAAATTTATACTTTTAATCCATATAATTTAACATAGAATTTAAATTATCCTTAAGTTTCACCCAAACTTAGACACGACTAATTGAAAAAATAATATACTCGAATATTTTCATGAATGAAATATAACATTCTTTTATTTGATGAATAAGATATAAGATAGTCTTAATCTTCCTCTAGTTTAAACTCTCCTTAATAAACATCTTCATTTGAAATTAGCTCTAATTGAAATAAACAGATTCATACCTGCTTATTCATTTAGGCAATAACATTGAGTTCCTTTTATTTTTCCATTCTTGTCTACATTTATGATTCCTATTTGAGCTAGCTTATTTTACAAAATAATATATTACACATTCAAGATATTGTGAATCAGAAAATTTTAATCTAATTTGAGCATCTTTTTCTAAGTTTAAAATCCCAGCAACAAGACCAATACCTGACTGATTACAATAAAATGCTTTGTTATTTTCTGAAAATTTGAGGTGTTTATGTGAATTTATTAAATCAAACTTTCTCCCAATATATATATTTTAACAAATTGATTTTTATAATACTTCTGATCTTAATATGATAAAGATTAAATACTTGTCTTTTTATTATTATTATTTAATATTATTTCCCTCAAAACATTCTTATTATCCTTAATTGAATAGATAGCAATTAGAGAATGTAGGTTTTTATAAAGTAATTTTTTTTTTTTTAGTATTTTCTATTTCTGACGCTTATTAAAATTTCAATCTTTCATCATCTTTATCTAAAATATTTTCTGTAGGATAAGAATAGTTTTATTATAATTATTGGAATTATTTATATCCTTTTAAAGGGATATTATTCATATCATCTTATTCAATTTATTGATTTTAACTTAAAGTAAATTATTCTTATGCGATATTTTAATCATAAATTTAATGTGTTTCATGCTAAAATTAATTTTTTATATCATTTTTCACTTATTCTGTCTTAATTTATATCAGTTAAGTTTGATAACTATTTTCTTATATTCCAATAGGTTGCGAAATTATGTCAGGAAGGGTTGAAAAATTAAATTCTGTTGTTTTCTATATTTAAGAATTTTTAGAATATTGATGTCTTATTGTTAAACTTTTTTCTAATAAATTCAGAAAATCATTTTCCATTAAATTTAATTTAGACTAAATTTCATCAAGAAAAAGAACTGCTTGCTTTTATTATGGAGTTTATAATTATCCATAATATATTTAAATTTAATTTTATATATCAGATTCTATAGATTTAGAATTTGATAATTAATAATCGAAGTAAATTTGTTCTTCAACTAAATTCATGTGCATTCTAAAATATTATATTATTAATCGTACTTCTAAAAAAAATCAAATAGTTCTTAAATTTTACCAATAATTCTCTACTCTTAATATTGAATTTATTAATAAATATCTTCTTACATTTTTTTCTTCTACGATTAATTAAACTGATTAAATTTATAAGTAACTTTGCTTTCAAACTTTTATTTTGATATAACTTTATGATTGAATTGATTATGTAATTTTAATTAATCCCAGTTTTTGATGATTCTACTTAAGTGACATTATTATTCAAAGCAAATGAAAGTATCATTATCAGAATATTATTCAAACATAATTTTTTATTAATAATCATAATTAAATTTAATTTAAAAATCCTATTAGAATGACGCTATTTATTATTTATTTTCTATTTTATACTTTATAAGTCTTAATATCAATAAAATTATCAAATTCTAAAGCTTGCTTACAATTATTGTTTACATTAAAAATCTCTACTATATAACTAATTATTACTTTAATAAGATTAAATTTTTGTTTAAGAATTAACATTATAAGATGTACGAATAATCTTATTATAATAATAAACCAATACTTGTTAAATAAGAAATTAGATATTTAAATCAGGTTTCATTCTGCATTTTATTATTCTAATGAATTATAATTGATTTTCTATTATTACGTTCATTTGCTTGCTTATATACAATGATTAGTGCAAAATTTATTGCAAGTAGCTAATAAATTATATTCTTTATTTGGACATTTAGTGATTAATTATAATCTAAATACTTTTTTTACATATGCTATTTAATTCATATTAACCAAATGCCCTCACAAATTTTAATCTTTTTATACTCTAATCAAAGAAGTATCAAAAGTTTAACAACTATTAAATTGTTCCTTGAAGCAGGTTTAACACGATAAATCAAACTATTGGCTTAAATTATTAAAAGCTTAATAAAATTTATCCTGTTGCATCGACATTTTTTACAAATTATTTAATACTAATAATATTATTACAAGTCAAGCAATCATCAAAAAAAAGTTAAGTAAGACCATTGCAAGTTTTCCATTTTAGTGACATTTTTTACATTAAGAATTAGATTCGATTGGATAATATCCATCCATGCAAGTATTCAATAATTTTCTATTATATATTATTAAACTTTCTGCACAGTTGTTTAAACTTAAACATTAATTAAATTCAATTTGGCAGTCAATAAATTGATTTCAATCTTCATATTAATCCTATTCATATAAACATTCTAATTTAGTTTAACTAGAAGTAGATTAAAATGTTGATCAATCTATTTTAGATGTACAAGTTAAACAAGATATTGGACAATCTAAATTTCTATAAGAAGCTGTATCTAATATTAATTAATTAAACACTCTTATCATTCAACAAAATTTACATTATAATCAGTGCTTCATTATTAACATGTCATTTCATTTGAACAATATAAACAAAAAGGCTAGCATTTATGAACAACTAAATAATAATCATAAAATGCAATCCAAATTTAATTGATTCATTAAATGGTCCAACAATTTCCAACTTATTTTTAATGCATTTATATCATGATTTATTTTTCTTATATGTTTGATATTCATACAAATTAAATTATCAAAAAGTTGTATTTTTGATGAGTGAAAAGATAAAATTATTTAAGATGCTTTAAACGAAATTTTAGTAATAATTTAAATTATGTATTTCTAAACCTTTTAAAAAATTTGTCCCATTCAAGAGATTAGTATATATTATACATGTTAAAATAAATTTATAATCAATTATGCTGTATTCAGAATGTATTCAGAATCGTATTCATAATAAAAAAAGTCGTTAGTTAAATATGAAGAATCTAAATATATGGTTTTGAACAAAATATGATGCATATATATTTTAATTAAAATTCATCCGATTATATTATTGTAATATAATTGAAATGATTTAATAATATTGATTAAAATTAACTTTTATTTTTAATTAGAATTATTATTATTTTTAATGTAAATGCTTAAAACATGTTGATTGTTAAATTAACACAACAGCCATTATGGATCGTGAATCTAATAGCAAATGCTGAATACTGCAGATTTAATTGCATTAAAGGCATAGGATGTTCTTTTTTTAATTGTAGTCATATCAAAAACTTAACAATATGTAATTCTTCAACTTGTTGATGGAGAAAATTGCATGTGGATCAGTAATTTATGTAAGTGCAAATCTTGTTCAGAAAATATATTATAAGCTAGTGTTAAAATAGCTATGGCTATTATTTTTCGGCAGTTACTAAATTGTTTTAGTATACATTAAATAAATACTATAAAATGTTCCGATTTCGAAGATTGTAGTTTAAGTATTCTGGTTTCACCTGAATCACATAAAGATTGCTACAGAACAAATATTTTATATACGATTGGCTATTCAGCCACTTCAAAATGCACAATAAAAAATAATTCTACAACTATTAAGAAACCTACATTAGTACTATAAATGGTTAATGCTGTTTCTAGAGTTCAAATCTTTGCGTAGATATCTGCACAGCTACACACTTAGAATGCTTTATATAGTATTCTGAGTATATGTAAACTGGATCATCCTAATGCTAAGATTAAAATTTTGCATTATTATCAACTAATACATAATGAAATATTTATTCTACAAACTCATTGTGGTTAGATACTGCACTGTTAAGCTTGATTTAATTTAATATGTAGACCTTCCTATTTCATGTAATTTCGGCAAGAAGACATAATGTTATGTAGATAAAGATTGGAATTAATGATATTTTAACACAGCATAAAATTAATGAATAAATTTAATATGTGAAAATTTAGCAGCACCATTTACAACGCATTTAAAATGTAACTAAAAATTAAAAATTGTACATTAAATGCCTCTTCGAATGGATGCTAATAATTAAATGATTGCAGTAGTTATTAAGTCCGAGAATAATGCTAATTGATTAAAATAATATTGAAAGTGAACGAATATTCAATCATAATAAATGTACTCTTAAGGAATGTTCAACAGCTTAATTAACTATAAATACAGTACATAGTTGCTGTCAGTATTTTGGAGATTCATGGGATTTAAACTTAAGAATAATGAATCAGTAATGGATAAGTTAACTTAAATAATATAGATTGTTTTCGGAATCTTGAAAAAATATGTGTAAAAAAAAATATATGAGAATGGACCTTCTCATTCTTAAAATGATTCTGAATGCACAACATTCCTTCATATTTGTGAAAAAGGTGATTTTTGTATAAAAGGATGTTTAGGTTATTATTATGCTATAGAATCAGTTGTACATCTATATTTTAAGATAAAAGGTGTGTAACAAATGGAAAGCAATGTTTTTATAGAACAACTTGTGGTGAGCATATAAATATGATTGATGGATGTACAGATGATAAAATATATTAAATCCATTTATATGGATCAATGATCAATGCTATACCATAACCTGCGAAACTGCTTCTTTGTGGTAATGGGATTGTTTCAACCAAAGATCAATATTGTGATAATGGCAATTATTTACCAAATGATGGTTATTATAAATACAAAGTGCAATGTCCAGAAGGATGCTATATTTGTAAAGGTAATTGTGTTAAGAATTTTATAAGATAGGATGGTATTTGTATTACAAAATGTGATGGTTATGTATTAGGAAGTGAATAATGTAATGATGGAAATGCCGCTTAATCTGATGGGCGATATTAATGTTTTTATTAGTGTCATCCATAACTTTTATTTTTTTATAGTATATAAATAAGCTTCAATAGAAATTAATTCTATTTATTTACTAATTTTGACTGAGCACTGGTTCTTTTATATGTAAAGTTTTAAAGTCCCCTTATTCAAATTTAATTTGTTTTTG